TAGCAATATGGGAGCAATTAAGGGATCCAGTGTTTAGCAATTTCTGTATCTTGGCTTTTCCAGAATGAATTTCCAAAACAGCATTTCAAGGCTTCTTGAGTATGAATATTAATGCACTTTAGTCTGTTGGCCCAGGTAAAAAAAATATGAATGAATTTTTTTATCCTCTTCAATATATTCTGCAGTGTACTCAGGAATTACTCGGGAATTCAATTTAGTTTATTTTAAAACTAAGTACATTGTCCTTTTCATTATAAATGTGTACAGCAAAAAGGGGAAGTTCGCTGGGCATGGTGGCACACGCCTGTAATCCCAGCACTTGAGAGGCTGAGGAAGGAGGATCATTGCGAGTTTGAGACCAGCCTGGGCTACAAAGTGAGGTCAAGCCCAGCCTGAACTGCCTAGGGAGATCCTGTCTCAAAAAGACAAAAAAAAAAAAAAGGTAAAGTTCATATAATTCCTGAAATTGATTAAATGTTATACATTATGTACAATAAACAACTGCAATAAACAATACAAGAGACTATGTTAAATTCTTTATAAAATTGTTTATGTTGTAGGTACAGTTGCCAGATTTAGCAAATAAAAATACAGCATAAATACCCAATTCAGTTTGAATTTCAAATAAACAATGAATAATTACTTTAGTGAGTATATTCCAAATATTGTAAGGAATATACTTACATTAAAACATTATTATCTGCAATTCATACTGAACTGAATGTCCTGTATTTTATCTGGCAACACTAATTATAGATAGAGATATTTTATTCACTGTCCTCACTAACAGCTGTCCAGGCGTAGCAGTAGGAGATAAATAGACTGGGTGGTTCTGTATTTCTGCCGTGTGTGGTCACTGAGCAGTTAAAGAAGTTTCCAGCAAAGTCCTAGAACTGACCTGACATGTGATCCTGGGCCATTTTTACGCTGAGGTAAATGGAATGGTTTTTCCAGAGATGGGCGAAAACAGATATAGTTAAAATTGTGGAGAAGGGGTATGTACCTAGGCGAGAGAGGAGGGAGTGACCTACAGACTGTGTCACGGTAAAGGCTACTTTGACCACATCATGTGTCCATGTCTCCAACCCTGGCATAATAATGGTAGCCTATTCATTGAAAGGAGTCAGAGGGCTTGCTGGTTTTGGATGTGTGAGTTACTATGTCAAGCGCAGGAACAGTGAACGGGAAACTGGCCTTGCAATAAATAGGCTCCCTGGGAACGAAGCGCAGATGCCTCAGACTCAACACACCTGAAACAGGAGTCATCACCTTCTGCAACTCCCTCCCTATTTCCAAAGTTTATTTGTGTATTCAGCAAATTCTAAGTGGCCACTAAGTGCCAGCATGTGCTGGCTCTTGCTGTATATCTTGAGCCCAACACACATGGTTGCTTCTTCCAGAGAGCTTACAGCAGAGTATGGGAGACTATCCTGTACTCACAAAGGCAAATGATCAATTGCACGTTGTGATATTGTGAGAGAAAGATATTTAGTGCTATAAATCTTTAATCAAGCTGGTGTACTACTGCTACTGCTGGTCTTTACATTGAGGCTGTAATGAATAAACACTATTATTATGAAAGAACCCCGAGAATAAAACTTTTTAAAAGAAGGCACTACACCCTTTCCTATTTAGGGGAACAATATTTCATTAGTACTGTAATTTCTGGGCAGGCATAGTGATAAATGCCTGCAATTGCAGCTCCTTGGGAGGCTGAGACGGGAAGATCACAAGTTTGAGCCCAACCTGGGCAATTTAGTGAACTCTGTCTCAAAATAAATAATAAAAAAAGACTGGGGATGGAGCTCAGTGCAAAGACCCTGAGTTCAGCTGGGCGTGGTGGCGCACGCGGGAGGCTGAGGCAGGAGGATCGCTGCAAGTTCGAGGCCAGCCTGGGCTACAAAGTGAGCTCAAGGCCAGCCTGAACTGCACAGCGAGACCCTGTCTCAAAAAAAGACCAAAAAAGACCCTGAGTTCAATCCTTTAAAACAAACAAATAAACAGGGAAGAGGAGGTAACTCATCTCTGGGTTTCACCCCCAGCACTAAAATGCAAAACAGAATAAGCACACACCCAGTGACCTTCTAGCCTTTGGAATGTGCAGAATTTTGCAATATATGTTATAAAGTGGACTGTCAGATTAAATATTTGCATATTTGTTATTAGATGATTGATCTTATCATTGCACAAAAAATAGAAGTAGGTGATTTTGCTTGACAGGGGAAGCTCTTCCACATTCAACCCATCTTTTTTTAAATTTCCCTTCAGCCTATCTTTCATGGCGGTTGTATTCAACTGCTTTTGTAACATCCTGGGTCCAGAGGATGCAATTCTTGTTAAATTAAAAGGGCAAAACTGGCGCCCGTTTCATTACTACCATTTAGCTTCCAGGAAAGGGAACTACGTTGAAAAGGGAACTTCTGCATCTGGTAAAATTCCTAAGCACGGGGCTGGGGATTTAGCTCAGCGGCAAAAGCGCCTGCCTGGCAAGCGCAAGGTCGTGAGTTCGGTTCCTGGTACCGGAGAAAAACCCAAAAAAAAAAAAACAAAACAAAACAAAACAAAAAAAAATTCCTAAGCACTTACCCATTTTTCTCAAAGGGGTCAACTCGGTGACTCCCAACCTACTGAAGACTTGTAGTCCAGACCACAATGGCTAGTTAGCAGCTGTCCAGCCTCTTGGGTCCAGTAATGCTTCTTGGGGCTTGCAAGTGTACCTGGAACCAAGCACAGAAGTACTTTCTACTTCACAAGACTGTCTCGGCTTTCTCTTCTCCTTCCCTCTCTCCGCCTCCCTCCGTCTCTCTTTTTGGTGGGGACTGCCAGGCTCCGAGCAGGTCGGGGAACCGATCGTGTCTACGACTCGCGCGTCACCCCCAGCCCCTTGTCAGTCCTTCTCTCCCGTAACAACATTCTATCACCTACTCCACAGAACAATGCAGGCTTTTCCTTTTTGCGGAAGAGCGGGAAGAAGGGAGAATTAGAGGGCCGAACCGGGGCACGGGGGTGGGGGTGGGCAGGTGCACTGACCGAATCTCCACGCAACCCTCTCCCACAGTCCAGCCCTACGCCCCGGTGCCCCTTCCCTTGGGCTGCCCCGGGGGCGCCCAGGAGTCGGCGATCCGAGGTAGGAGGACCCGCGTCTCCGCCCGCAGTCCTGCCGCCTCGGGCCGCACTTCCCCCGAACTCGGCCCGGCGAGCCCGCGGCCACTTTGTTGGGCGCATCCAACTTCCCCCAGCGCGGGCGCTGCGGGCGCGGCGAGCCCCGGCCCG